CCAAATGAGCATTGTTCTAGAGAGGAACGCTCAGTGCATGATGCTTTGCATGAGGCACTGAAAAGCTTAAGATTAAATTAGAAAATGGTTTGTCATCTGCACTCTGACAAAGCAAGTTGCTTGTGTACATTTTCCATGAAGGAATGAGACAGCGATGCTTTATGTAAGTCAACATTTAACTATTCATGCTGTTTGGATTATGCAGAAACACTGCAGAGCTATTCATAAATCTATTTGAATTGCTTAGTGTATAGAATCCAGAGGAACATTTCTTGCTTGAGACTATTAGTGTCATACAGTTGGATCCATGTAAAGTAGGAAGGCCTTTGCTGAAAAATGATCCAAGCTGCATGTGACTGAGCTGAAGCCATAAAGCTGCCCACTCCATCACGGCTGAGACTGCCGAGATTGATCAGCCCGCTCCCATTTGAGTGATTTCCCCCCGGATTCAATGCGACACAATTAGTCGGAAGCCGTATTTTGCCTTTGCGTTGCTCTTTGACCCTCCATAGCACATATGAGTCAGTGCAGCACTCTGCCGATATGAGTTCCTCCTAACAGCTCCTGTATTTGCACAGCCCATCTCCTCTTGGCCTTTCAACACTGTCCCTCCCAGCGCTGCTAAAGAGGATCACGGATCGCTGGCGAGCGGCCAAGTCGTTGTACCTGCTGAGATGGAATATAGCCTTGATCATCTACACTGGGGTTAGCACCAGTGAAAGTCTCTGTCTCTCTCTTTGAATACTGTGCGCTGGGAGTTTCTGTCAGACTGGCAGCCTCAGCAGTGGGCATTGCCACAAGGCCTTCCTGACCTCTTTGGCTCCTGACGCTGACTGTAAAAACAAAAACTCCACTCCAAAAGTGATCTCCTTAAGTAAGGGTTTCCAATCCAATTTTACACAGGGAGAGTGCTTAAGATTAGAGATAGTGTTTTTTATTGTGCTCTTCAGTAATAGGGGTAGAAAGGGTGAAAGGAGAGATGGAGGGAAGGAGGGAAAGAGGACTGGAAAGGATGGAAGATCGATAAAGCCTGCTCTCTCTGGTTGCCTTTATTCTTCGTTGTCGTGTCCGTGGAGACGAGGTTTGGGCGGCTCATGGCAGCAGGCCATGTAAGGGGGGCATTAAAGTGCCGCAAAGGGACCTGCTCTTTTCCCATAAACAGGCCTGCAGGTAGAGAAACACTCGCCAGGATCCCAATATAACAACAACTCGTAGCACTCGTTCGCAGCCATAATGAACAGCAATCTCTTTCAGTGGAATGAGATGTGCTGTGTACCTGACTGGTTTGTCATGGAGGGCTTTTCATTAGGCTCCATGGATTATCTTGACGACGGCGATTCCGCCTGAGCGAAAAAGGGCGCGTGGTCGCACTGGGACGAGCACAACTCTCCTGATTTGCATGGGCCTTTTTTCTTCTCCCAGTTCATTTCCAGTTGAATAACTCGTTTGTCACATACATCAGAGGAAAGCGAAGATCATACGAGAGCTAGTGTTACTTTGTGTTTCACTAATGAGGCCTGTACTCTCCGCCTCCTTGCTTTTGCCTTGCTGCCCTTTGAAACAGCAACGACATGGTGCTACAACACTCTAGTAGTTTTCTTTCTCCAAAACCGAGCTCCAGGCTGTTATCCTGTTTGTGTGTCACTTGACTCCGTCTCAGTCTTTTGCACTTGTTTAAGGCTCAAATGGCAACAGACCTGACACAGATACACTGGCCTTTGCGCCTTGTGAGTGTAACGATTCAGATTCTGACCCGAGCGCACAGGGACACTCGAAGGCAGATGATGATTTAACAAGTTTAGTAGAACATGTCATGACAAATGCAGAACTGAGGCATGAAGAAGAAACAGACTAGTAACCGGTACTGTTAGGACATCATACACTACATCATAGCTTTCCCTAAACTAAGGAACTGTCAAATAAATATCTGAGTATACAGCAAACAAACTAAAACCAGAGGCTCTCTTGCAGGAATGGCAGACAGAATAGAGAACCCCAAAAAATAAATTCTTAAGGTTCACGACCAGACAAGGATATACAGAAAACTAAAAATGTAGTCAATTAATTTTAAGTATCATTCTGGTTTGGTCAATAAACATTGCATGCAACACAAAGGAAGCTGATTATGCAGCTCCATGTATGCACGATTCAAACATTTTCCAGGTTTTTGACTGTTTTGTTCCCACTGAGTTATCTCAACAGTTTAGGGGGAACCCAATCTGGTCTACCAGGAGATTACCACTCAATTACAATATCTGATAATTAGTAATGTAAGAAAAGTGCAAAAACACTGTTTATCTTTAGACTTAAACCTTCATTTCAGCATGTAGATCATAATTATTTGTTTTATTGATCAACTAATACTGCAGCTTGAATTGAGAACACATCTGTGCACATCGCGGACAGTGATCAGAAACCCAAAATAGCACGGTGTTACAACAGGTTTAAGTCTAATTTAAGTAATACATCCATGAGTATGAAGGGTGGTCTGCATTGTTTTACCAGGATCTCTTGCATGGAGACCCTTATGGTGCTAATGGGGGTATACGTATTGAATAAGTAATGAGAAGTCTGTGTTTTTTTGTTGCCACAGTACCCCGGTATCCCCACAGAATCCTGAATTCTGATTCAGGATTTGATGTTTAGATGATGCTGTTTGATCATAACCTGTATTTTAGTGGGCATGTAAACACACTCATCAGCAATTCCAAGCACCAATCAGGACTGTGGGCAGAGATCTTGACAGTGACTAAAAGACATAACTGAAGCTTTGATCTCCTTAATGACATGAACAGTGTTTGATGTACAAACATTCAAACACAGCACCTTCCTGTTTCCAGGCTGCTGAGCTTTCCGTCTCAGCTGGACCGTTGAGTACCGACGTGATGATGGTTGTACAGGCTAGTTTAAAGGAGGACACAGGATCTGGTTGTACTTTCAGCTGTCATACCAGGAGGTGCATCTTTTTTTAGGTAACCAACCCCATTCTCCTTTAAAATGGGCGCTTAGAAGTTGAAAATTGCCAACATCAAGAGCTTCCTTGAATTAGGATGCCCCGCAATGCAAGTGTGTTATATAATGCCATGACTGGAGGGAGAGGAAAAGTAGAGCACAGGGGTAGAGATTAAAAAAGTTTCTGCATAAAAAGAGAGGGGGGAGGAAGAGATGAGCATGAAAGGGAAAGGGGGCGGAGGGATTGAGGGAGAGACAGAGGAGATAGAAATACAGTGTAATGAAAAAGAGAAGAGGGGATTAGGTCAGGCAGGAGTGAGGGTCCACTCTTCCAGCAGGAGCAGCCTTGAGGCCCTGCAGGCTGCAGGAAGCTGGTCAGTGCTCCTCCTCTCTCAAGGCTTCTCTCCTTTTTCATTTAGATAATGGAGCATTTCCTTAATTGGCAGAGCACAGTTTAGGCCGAGGTTTGTTTGCCAACACGTCAGAGTAGAATTATTTCCACTACATTTACAGCACAGTGTTGCTCAGCTCTCTCATTAAAACCACAGCCTCCTCCTGCCCAGATAGAGCTTTCTGTGGAAATCTGCAGAAAGAGGCCAAACACCACGGCAGCGGGAAAAAAGAATAAAACACATTTATCTCCTATCTTGCCATCCCCAGCCAGCTTGTAAAGGAAAAGACAGAAACTTCTCTATCTGTTTACTGTTATTGTTTTTCTCCAATCATAAACCCTTACTTCTGGCTGCTATTGTGTGCTTTTCCCTCCTTCTCTCTTATCGAAAGAGTTATGCATTGGGCTCGCATGATCTGTATCTTTAAATTTGATTGAGGGTATTTGCAGGGGGTGTTATTGGATTTCGGTGTTATTGTCTCACCTTTTCCCTCTACGTTTTTAATGTTGGGATGGATATCCGCTCCAGCAGCACTGATCTCACTGTTCTGCTCATTAGTCTGGATTCACAGAGCCTAGTGCTTCGCAACAATAAGACATGCACTTCTGTAGTCCGGCCATTACCGAGTTTAACAATGTGCACCAGCCAGAAAAGTCCATTATTTCTGCAGCTCATCATCTCAAGCATCCACACGAGACAAAGGGTCTGTGAAACCGCTTCATTGCAAAAGGCCATCTATCACTTAAGTCAGGAGCAGAGACTAAAAAACACATGTGGTGTAGATACCACATACTGTGTGCTCTGGAAGCATATGGAGGGATGAGAGTTATATGAGTAACACAAGGGTTCCAAACTTTTTTGGGTGGTACCGACTCATGTGTGTCTTTAATGAGTGCGTAAAACTTTCAGGTACCAAAAGGTGGCATAATTTGTTTGGTCCAGTTCTTGTTTACTTATTTTCTTTATTCGGAATTTATTGATTTAATAAGAATTTAGACATCATTTTATGTTGCCAAGCTTTTGGTAAATGGGGACGGGTTGTGTTAGGAAGGGCATCGGGCATAAAAATACCAAATAAAATATATGGATCATCAGATCTACAGATTACAGAAAAAAACGACTTCTATTAAGGAAACGTGTTGTCACCCATATCCAAAAACTCCGTATGATGCCCTGCGACAGAAACAGAGGCAGCGATAGTGGAGCTCATAAAGTGAGAACAGGTTCGTGTTAAAAGTAGTAAAGTGGGGCTTGGAGAGGGAGCAGCTGCTACTTTAACAGACCTGTCATTGCAATCAAAGGCGCTAATCAAAATTTTATCAATTAATTGATCTTTCCTCTTGTGCTTTGCCATGAGTGCAATTGAGATTCCCCCTGACTCTTGCCCCTCCAACAGAGAGCCATGCTCTACAACATGAACTGTGTTCATTAGCAATGATCAAGGATTTCTCTAATCTGAGCTGAGATGTGATATGATGGCTGTTTCCCCCTGACTTAGCTGGTTAGTTGGTTTGCAGGACAACTCTCCCCAGTTGCCTTCCAAATCACACTGGTGAACTCGAGCTTGTTTCATGCTGCTTGTACGATCCAACAATGTACCTTATATTTGATCCCAACTGTAGTTAACACTTGTCTTCTGTTGTGTGTTTGTCGCAGGGTAACCAAGAGGCCACCAACCCCCCAGAAGCGATGGCCCAGCCGTACACCCCAGCTCAGTACCCACCTCCCCCACAGAATGGCATCCCCGCAGAGTTTGCGGCACCACACCCACTTCCGACACAGGACTACACCGGGCAGAGCCGGGTTCCCGAGCACGCCATGACCCTCTACACGCCCACACAGACGCACAGCGAGCCGGCCGGCACTGACAACAGCACGCCCGCCATCACCGCCACCACGACCGCACCGGTCAGTGTCCTTCATCATCTGCAAACACTGTTCTCAACTCGCTGTCAGCAAGTAAAATACACTATTATCATTATTTACCTTTTTCTTTCTATTGATCCGAAAAAATATACTGTTTAGGACTGAAAGCTTCTTTTTGAAGGTACTATATGTATATGTATGTATTATCAATATGTAAATTGTGTTTTTAAGTAACAATTTAATTTAATAAGCATGATTGGCTAAATCTTATTATTTCCTGCAACTTGTTTCCCCTCCCTGACTTTTGTTTCACTGAGGAAAGTTAGTTTGTTTTATAATAGTCATTTACTGTTTCCATTGTCTGCCATTGCTTGAACCCTTAAAGCTTCAGCACCAGTCGAAGATTTATAGATTTCCCCAAATCCAACTCAGTTGCACACAACATTAAAAGTACTTTAAATATCTTGCCATTAGTTTAATGTTGAAAGTTAGGGTTGTAAGAAAATAATGATACACTTGAGTATTGCGACATTTTGTTTAGTGAAACTGTATCGATTTTTGTGTTTTAAAGGACTGTAGATGGAGGGCTATGATTTTATGCATATGGTGGTGTGTACTTTATACTATGACAGTTTTCCTAAAATTATATATTAACCTTCCTTGCTTATCAAAGTATCATCAGGAACACAGCATCAGTAATGTATTGTATGGCCAGCAGCAGCCAGTACACAGCCCCACTGAAAGTATATGGCAATCATAGTTCCACAAAATTACAAATAACTAAGTTCATAAATTAATAATAATTACACCTATAATTAAACATTGCATAAATCATAATATTATACAATTACACATGATTTTAAACAAGGTATGTCAGAAGACTACTATGAAATAATTTTTCCAAAATGGTGTTTAAATGTTAAAATTTCTGTCTTCATAAACTAGCATTTTGTAGATACATTAGTTTTACCCAAGGTGCAGTGGTGCTGTGGCGGAGTACATCCCCACCCTAGATACACGTAACATTTTTGAATTTTGAAAGTTTTCTCTATCACAAACGCAAAAATGACTGTTTTTAATAAAAAATGGGTGTTGAGTTTAGAAATGAAACAGAGGCTGTAACGCTACCTATCATCAGAAAGTAGCAGAAGACTTGGATGTCATGGCAATGCAACGTTGGAGGTGAACTTGATTCTGAAGAGCCATTTAGTGCTCCCTAAAAGACATGTAAACCTGAGCTGTTTTATTTATTTATTTTGGGTGAAGGAGATGTGACATGCTGTTCACATGAATGATTCAGGATCTCTGAAAGGAGGACACCCTCCCGCCCGCACGCCAACCCATCCGATCTTTTTGGGTCTTTTAAAAGACGAAAGGACGGATGCACTTCTCTGGACCAACCAAAACCAATTGCTGTTTAGTTAGATCAGCTAATTATCTGAAGCTGCATCCAAATGTTTGAGACACTGCTTTACACATAAGATATTATCCTCTGCATAAATGTGCCAGGAAATGATTATACAACTTTTTTTTCACTCACTTTCACCTCACCATAAGAGTGCATATATTTAAATTATTGGCAGTCCAAGTGAAAAACAAACCCCTGGCAATGCTGCACGTTGAGATACATGGCTAGGACGTGAGCGAAATTCAAAATTCTATATTATACATTTCAACCTTGTGTGCTGATACTCTTAAACGAAATGCCTTGACCTGGAATTTACCTTCACAAGAGGCAGATGTAGATAAAAAGGAGGACGACTTAGCTCCAAACTTTAGAGGCGCGTCTAGAAAGACAGATAATGCTGGCAGAGATGAAAAAAAATAAGACCTTCAGACTTTCTTTTCTCCTTTAGCATGAAAACACCTGCTGGGAGAGGTCACGGCGAGGCCACAGCCCTCCTGAGAGACATCTGGGTCACTCATAAAGAGCATTGTTAATAACTCTATTTTCCCAGACTCACAATTACCGTACGGCTACGAACATTTGGCGGCAGAAAAGTGCTTATACAGCACGAGCAGAGCAATAGCAATGTGCAGTGTATTATCATCGCCCTGTAATGTAGCCATGTTTGATTTGAAGATTTGTGCGTGACGCTCTCCAACTGCTCCATGGTTATGCGCTGCACTTACAGTAATGGCTGACACACAAGAGGGTTTAAAGTGAGGAGAGACTTGGCAGGAGGTTCAGCCTCCTCCTCCTCCTTCTTCTTCTTCCCCCTCCGACACTGTGCACCACTCCTCCACTCGCTATCTCTCACCGTCTCCCCTCTCTCTCCATTTCGCATTTGATTTCATTTCATCTGTTCACCCGCTGTGAAGAAAGCCCAGAGATGGTGGCCATGGAGAGATGAGAGCTCGCCTTGCTTTCCTTCATGCTTTTTTTCCCCTCTTGCGCCGTCCCCGCTTTCCTCCATCTTCATTCTCTGCATCCACGCACTCCCCACTTCCACCCATCTTTTCTCAGGCAGGACAGAGGGATGAGATTAGTGGGGTGTAAACAGAGAGTCTAATCCTCGGGGGCCGCTGGTGTAGTGTCGCCCACCGCTGTGTTCCCCAGCTTTAATGACAGACCCAGCCTGTTTGCTCTGGGTGCCACAGACGGGCCCGGGTGCCTTTGATTAGGGCACCCTGCAGAAACACAGATTGAGGGAGCAGATCAGCGACTCACTGCGACTCTCCCCCTCACCCTCCTCCCTTGGCTCGACTCTGCTGCGCTCAGCTTCCCCACGACGACGCTTCACTCTGCACATCTTCTCGACTTAAAGACTTAAAAAGAGTCAAGAGAGAGAGTGAGAATTCAGTGAAACGTATGGATTCTGTGTGAATTCCCTGCAGAGAGCGGAGAGTGTGTATGTTTTAATGAGGCGCGGGGACTCTCTTTGCTTCGCCTCTTCTGTTTCTGTCTCTGTCTACCAGTCACTTGTCTATACTGGGAAGGTGGCGTTGTCCAGAGCCAGACCTCTGGGACCTCGCTCTGTGCCATGTTCAAACAAGCTGACTTGAAAGCAGGCGACTTGAGGAAGAGAGGCAGCCCCCAACTTTTCTCCAAATCCTTAGAGATGAGGGTAGCAGAGGGCTGCCAGGGAGCTCTGCTGGAGAAAAAAAAACTGAGCTCGTTATCTGGCTCAGTTCAAATAGTCTGAGGTTTGGTTGAATTTCATGAGTAATCATTCTCTTTTCAGATAACAAATTAAGGCAGTGGCGTTAGGGCAGCACTCAATTCCAGATTTTTCACAGCCCGTGTCAGCGGCATGAAGACTTTCCAAAGGGTATTCTGGGGGACTGTGATAACATAGACACACACACACACGAACACACAAGGGCATGTGGGAAACATGGGCGAACACATGCAAACATTCATACATACACGCACACACCCTCTCATCTCTCATGAGCGGTGTAGCTTTCAGAGGCGGTGCTGATGGCAGCATGTAGGCCACCATTAAAAAGGGGATGACTGTGTTATCTCTAAGAGGGAGGAGCTACTTATTTACCCCCCCACTGTAAATTCCCATTTTAAAAGATATTGTAGATATCCTCAACATAAAAACTCTCCTGGATAATCTGAAGCATAAGGCTGGCGTGTCTCTTCCTGACTGACTCACAAATATATACTTTTATTTTATATAATGTTTACGGTGTTTCAGTATTAAAACAGCTGATCACTGTACTGTCAAGCTGACATTACTCAAAGGAAACATTTGTTGGGGACTATTTTAAGCTGCGGATCAATCCACATTTGGTGCGTCAGTGAGTATTTGGGGCAGCAGGGCCGTGTATTTTGGATTGAGTCAAAATAAACTACAGTGTGTGTGTTCATGGTAACAAATGAACACATCAACAGCGTGGCTCATGGATAACAATCGAACAGCTTTGACACACAATACTTGTTTGTAGGATCAGTCCTTCGTTTGGTCTTTTGATTGGATTTGGTTCCCAAGCTGGGGGTCCTGGCCCCCAGTAGGACGACAAAAGCTTAACGGGGGATTGTGATGCCGGCTTGGTTTTAAAGGGTGAATGAAATTGTTACTTACAGTTCAGATTATTATTTAAGATATAAGAAATCCTCACAGAGTTAGGGAGCAGTGACCTGAACACAAGCTATATCCACAGAGCGTTCACTCTCTGCTTAACAGCCTCATCCTGAATTTGAAAAGGGAAAACAAACAAAGAGTTAATAGAACAATGGATCAGGGAGAAGAAAAAATACACCTATTAGGTATGTATGATTGTTAAAAATTGAGAGAGAAACAGTATAATCTTTTTCTGAAAATATCAGGAAAACACAGGAAATAATCTGTTCAGCTTTTTTTTCCAAATCACACATTTTACACAAACTTCCTGCTGTTACTGTTTTCAATATTTGGATTAATTATACAGTTTCTCAGTGGTTAAGTACTGTTATTGTTTTGCATTGAATATAATACGAAACATCCATAAAATATCACTGTCACTGAGTCAGTTTACACAATGATAGGAAAGGGCTCCCTTAAGGAAAAAGGTTGGAAACAACTGATTTAAGAGCCTATATGCTAATGCTGTCTCCATCAGTATTAATACTAAAGATTAAGAAATCCTTTTTGTTTTCAGCATGAACAGCTCTTAATAATACAAAAGCCAGCCACCATTAGTAGAAAAGCACGTCATTCAGTTGTGGCAAATGTACACCTTAACATTGCAGTTGGGACCAAAACACTGCGCCACAGTTCATCCCAAAATGAGCCAGAATCAGAAATTTAATTCAGTGATTTCCATAAATGCACCTTGAGAGTTGTAGTTTTTATACATCCACACTCAAAGAACCAGATATTTTCCTACACAGTTGCTCATCTTTTGTATTGAGTTTTGTGTCCTTTCAAGCCTTAATTGTGCTTCAGCTCCCAATGACCTCACATTGTCTACGTCGCCTGAACGCCCAAAATAACTCCTTTACTTTATATGAATCAGGGGGAGGAGGTGGGGGCAGCCCCTCTACTCCACACTCACTCCCGTCACACCCCCTGCTCTCTCAGGTGATGGAGGAGATATATTTGCTTCTTTAGAAAAAGAAAACAAACAGTGGAGGACTGGGAGGGGAAAATAATGAATTAAAGCTCAGGCATTATAATTCTTGTGAGCGAAGACTCAGTACCCCCCCCACCCCTATTTAATCGGATGTAATCTACCTGCTTGGCAGCATTCCAATCAGATAGTTTCAATTATGCTCTTGTAATGCCACTCTGCGAGGAGGGGGAAAGTGCTGAGCAGAGCACTTTGCAGGCGATTTGCAAATAACAGCAAGGGAGTCTTTTAGAGAAATGACTGAACAGGAAGCCGGAGAGTTGCCGGAGTTGACAGCTCTCTCACTCTCTGGTTTGCTGGCTTTGGCGGTGACGGCGTGTTGTGCAACCCACCTCCTCCTCCTAGCCGTGACAGCAGCTGTCGGGACAGTAAAGTGCCACTGAAGGTGGCCTCCTATGGTAATACGGAGGTAATTATTTTTCACTGCAACACCACCATCTCACAACCAGGCAGGCGGGCTGGAGCCTCGGGAGCGGTGCACAGAGGCAGGCGTCCCGGATCTCAGTGACACTCCAAGTTATTGAGTTAGTAGGATGCAGTCTGGGCTGCTTGGGAGTCAGCAATTCAGTATTTGTGTTCTCCACATGTGTATTTGCCCCTGATGTCAACGTGCTGCCGGCCTGTCTGAGCACCGAGTGAAAGTTAATCTGGATGTTTGCAAACACACGACTGCGCTTGCCGTGATAAAAAGCCAGACAGACAGAGCTGGGGGACAGAGGTGCTCAGTAGTCTGGCAACATACGCTAAAGGTCGATAGTGTCATGTGTGACCAATGAAACAGATTGACCCGCGGGGCTCTGGTACCTTGTCACCCTCCACGGTCCCAGCATCTGTCTGCAATGTGTCACCCCCGGGGCCCAACATGGCTACTCAGGCTATTAACCTCCAGCACGCGAGGACACGGCAGAGTTAAGACCCCTCCGCCCGTCTTTCTCTGTCACAAATCCACTCCTTACCAGCCGGCCGGCCAGCTCAGTGCATTTTCCGACTCCCGTGTCCTTCGCCACTTGTTAACCTCTGGTCCGGATGCCGTCAAGGCCGGGTGGGACTTAGGTAGCTGCCACCAACCTGCCCTACCTGGATGGCTGCAGGGGAGACAGAGTGGGACCTTGAATCAAACAACTGTCACTGTTAACAATGTATGTCACCGTCTCGGAATGGGCCATAAAAACCAAATAAATGACGGCCATTACAGTGGAGATTGTGATTATGATAATGAGAATAATAAAGGCGATCATCATTACGATCATGATGATAATGATAATACTGTGATGATGAATTATAATGAATAAATCCCTACCCCATTTCCTAAATGGTGGGAAATGTATCACTAAGAGTGGCCTGCAGCCATCTGACAGCCTCAGAGCAGGGTGAGGGTTATCAGTGTGTGCACGCGTGTGTGTCATTTGAACCGTTTGTACTCTGGCAACAGCCTACTCCCTTTTCACGTCTGTATCTCAGTACAAGATTGTCTCTGTGTATGTGACTTCCCAGCCAGTGTATAGTGTGTTTGCCATGCTCAGAGAGCACTTCCCAGGAGAGCTTGCAGTTTACATATCACATTCAAACAGCTTTTGTGTTCAATATCTGCCACTTCCACTCTCTCGTTTCTCATTCCACCCTCCGCACTGTCTCTTTATTTAGTCCCTCTAACGTGTCACCCGCACTAAATCAGGTTAATTTTTGTTCATTTTTAATCATTTGCTTGCTATTGCAGAATGGAGACTGTTCCCACAAGAAAAAACAACAGCTGTCTGATCAAATGCAAAACACTAACTAGATGATTTCCTGATGAGTGACCTCTTGTGGTCATGCAAGTCATTTCTGTCCTCTCTCAGAGGCAAAGGTGGAAGTAGAACAGCTCTGTTAATTTGCAAACCCTCTTAGGGAGGAAATCAGGCAGATGGGTTTGTGTCTGACACAACTGCTTTGCAGTTCACTTCCTGTCTTCTATCAACAGTCAGCGTTGCTTTCCTTTAACCATGGTTCTCTCAAAAGTTAAACGCACCCATAAACCTCATTAATTAACAGCGTGTATCTTGTTTGTTTTATCTATACATAAAGAGAAATATAAAAATGTCATTTTGTGCTTCGTGATATTTCTTGAGAAATCAGTTTATCCATCTGCTTAGTGCTTCTGTGCAGCGTCTCCAGCTTTAGATTGAATTGCCAGATACAGTTGGTAATACCAGCTTTTATTATGCTGTAGGTCTCAGGCAGGATGGTACCAAACCTGGCAACCACACTGTGACAGCAAGACTCCAGAAGTCACTGCACCCGGCTGTTGTTTAATAAAAATGCTGCCAGCACGCAGCTCTACCTAAAACTGCAAATATTCGCTTTTAATCTGTTTGTGTACCGATTAAATAATGAGATATGTGTTAATTAGGGAGAATAAGGTTAATTTTAACTTTTAACAGAGCTAGGCTAACTGTTTTCCCCTGCTTCCCGTCTTTATGCTAAGCTAGGCTAACTTCCTTCTTAATTATATATGTGAGATTGATATTGATCTTGTGATTCACCTCTCTTAGTTGTCTTAGTCTTTAGTTGCATACATTTAACCAAACCTTCACCGCAGCAACGGCAGGTTAGAAAACGCTTACATGAACAATTTGTTGAACAGTCACAGACACAGACAAATGATCTATTTTGCCAAATATGAGCATATGATAGACTTGTCCCATAATGGTGCATAAAAGAGAGGATAAACTATGCTGTTGACCAATGAGGTTTTGTCCACAGAAAACACATCAGGAAAAGAAACTGCCTCAAAAACAAGGTCCATCTAAACAGACAAGCCGCCAGCACCCTCAGAGAAATCCATCACCGGTGTCACAGAGAGAAACAAGTGGAATTTGTCATTGACATCAGACACGTCATTTATATAGAAATGTCAGCATAGCATTCGCATAATGATGGAAACAACAACGCTGAGGGCTTTGGGCCTCGCACTCTGATGGCTGTGTGCAAACGTCACCAATAATGTGTCTTTAGTCTAGACATGTCAGGGCTCTGTGGGATCTATATCCACGCCTTTTTGTCAGCGCCTTCAATCTTCCCTGTTGCTCAAGAGCTAAGTGCAAGAGATTAATAAGTGGATTTGTAATGCACAACCTCAGGTTTGACACTATAAGTCATCGGCTGTTTATCGCTTTGGCTTTCTCGGCGGATTGAAAAATGGCAGACGCTGAGTAAGTTAGTTAGCCAGGCCTCCCACCCCACCCTGCACCCCGCCACCCTCCTATTTGAAACCCCCCTTCCCATACTTCAGGACCGGGAGGTAGAGTATACTGTAGCAGCTAATGAGCAGCTTGTGTCTTTTCTCTGTTTGTTTCCCTCTGGCAGACAGATGATGTGACGCAAACAGAGGGCTCTCAGCAGCTCCAGCTCCAGCACTCAGACTCTTCAGAGAAGCAGCAGCCCAAAAGGTTACATGTCTCCAACATTCCCTTCCGCTTCCGGGACCCTGACCTAAGGCAAATGTTTGGGGTGAGTACCTTGAAGGAAAAGTCCAATTTATTACAACTTGTGTCTTATTTTTGTAGGGTTGGCCTTTATGAATCGGTTATGATAACGCTGTATTTGCTAAGCTAATTCCTGTGATCTGGGAACAAGACTACAACAAAGCCTGAAACACAAGCAGTCAGATGAGTTGTATAACAGAAATTATACAACATTGCAGGGTACCCCGCCTCCCCTGAAACAAAGAACCTCTGCTAATAACAGAAGATACAGAATATTTACTTATTACGCTGATATAAAATAGCAGAGGTGGGACCATGTCATTATTTTGCAGTCCACATGTAAGTCCCAAGTCAGGTCAGGTGTTTTCGAGTCCTAAACAAGTCATAATGCACTCTTCATCAAATGTAATGCCATCTCTCCTGAATCCTTATTGGATGCTGTCAGGTTGGTTTTAACAAAGTGTTTCTGAGGAGTCAAGGATTTATTGTTAGTTGTTTTAGGAAATGAGGGGAAATTAATTCATTTGTGACACATTTTTTAATTAACATACCTTTAAATCTTTGGGCTTGGTGGAAGGTATCAAGTATTTTCAAGTCAAAAGGCTCAAGTCCAAGTGAAGTCACGAGTCACTGGTGTTAAAGTCGAGTTGCAAGTTTTTGTTGATTTTCTCGAGTCTAAAGTCATCAAATTTGAGTCTGACTCGAGTTCACACCTCTGTGAAAATAGAATATTAGGCTTATTAAGCTTCACGGAAAGCTTAGGGGAGGGAAAGAGCAACTCACGAAGAGGCCTCACTTTAATGAGTGAGGCGATTGCTCAAACCAGCATCTAGTAACTACATTGTCAGGAAAACAAAAGAGAACCTTGAAAAGTAAAGAAAAACAGCTCAATCAGTCACGATTGGTTGCTAATGGAGAGGAAAAAAACTCTCTTCTGCGCTGACACCAGGCTGAAGTTAGCTGAGATATGGAAGCCAGCACGGTTGTAATTTTACTGTTCATCTTTGTCTTCTCTCCCAAAGAGGTTTGGCTGTTTGATCTTCTGACTGCTCGAGTTGTTTGCCCTGTCAGACTTACTTTAGCAATGTTGTAGTGTCCCCAGATCTTAGGAATTCACTTGGTGAGAACAATGTTATTATTAACAATAGCCATTATGGCCAAAACGATAAAAAAAATACTGAACTGACTTTTATTTCTTATATCTTGGTCACTAGCAGTACCCATCTTCCGCAGCATTGTTTTGTTCTCAATATTAAAAAGCTTCTTTAAGTAGCTTTGAGACCATTAGGGAACATTAAATTGTCAGGAAATCAGGACTGAGGAAATAATTTTTCCTGATTATCTGTCCAGAGGTTACACATACAGAGGGGTCAGCTGCAAACAAATGCAATAAGATTACATATCAGCATACCAGAGGTCCTCAACAGAAATTCTCTCTTTCTCTATCTGTCTCTTGCCCAATTAATGAGGCAATGAATAGTTCAACAGCTCACCCTTGTGTCTCACAAAAGCTTCAATAAGAATTGAACCAAACATCCCCCAATTCAATAACGATAATGGATCTGAATGGAGACGATTGCCAAAAATGTACTTTAAATGTTATGCGCTAATTGGACCATTAGAACCCAGAGGCGTTAATTCTCATCGTTATGAAGACAACATCCAGCTGATGATATTAATTACTCGAGAGGCCTGGCCGTGGCTTTATAAACTGCAGACAACATGGCTGCTCTCTCTCTATTTCTCTCTCTGATTGTGGGCTTTATTGTTCCCAGCTCTGGTGCAGGTCGTGTGGAATCCAAATCGCCTCAGTAATTAGCTCGGAGGCTTTGTGTGCCTGGCCGGCGCATTCAGATATACGATACAAAATTGATCGCAGCCCACCCAGTTCCCTTCAATCAGCCTCCTCACCCACGTGGTGCCCGTTCCTTCCTGTTATATGCCCTTCTCTTCTTGGTGGTTGGCATTGTAGAGGATTGTGGGATTGATTGTCTTGGGTAGAGCTTGGCAAGGAGATAGCTGGTCTACTCCACCCTCTGACATGGCCTCCACAATGGGCCTTTGTGTGATCAGCTTGTGCAAAGCCTCATCCCTCTAGCTCTAATGGCTTCTGGAGCGCCACTGGCTCAATACGCCATTACTGTTGTGCATGAGTGAAACCCACTGACATGCAGGCGGGAAGACAGAGGAAAAGGAGAGCGGAGGTGCTGCACGGCCCACTAGAGAAGGCCCCTGTATCAGAGTCCCACCAGGAGCCCCATCTGCTCCTACACAGCACGGAGAACCCCTCTCTGGTGACGGCAGCGGAGGTTTCAGCACCAGTAGAAAGCTGGCACCCTAAAACAAGAAGGGAGGGCCCGAGATGCACCCTGCACACCACAGGATTATGGGTGTGGAGAAACCTGTGAGCCTTTAACGAGGCGCTGAATGAAGGGCTCATTAGGACGACCACAGCGGACCTTAATCAGTAATTAGAAACTGTGATCTCTGAGAGCTAGCGAGTGTGGGGGAAATGAAAACACTCCAAGTGCGAGTGAGCGAGCGAGCTCTGTGCGGCGCCCATGCTGCGCTGCTTGAGGGTGCCCTCGTTTGTGCGACTGGGTTCTTCAGCAGTGCTTCTCTCAGTGCATGTAAGGGCTCTCACAGCACTCCCCAGAGCAATCAGGACCTCTGCCCTCCCCCCATCGTGTTGTCACACTGACTACTGTGTCTGAACATGCTCTACACTGGCACTCTACTGCTTGAATACACAAGGCTGCTGTAGCGTAATTATAGGTTTCTGAAGAGCTTAAAGATATTCAAGCTAATCAAAGGTGGAGGCACAGTGGCCTCAATCTTGTTTGTTGCTTACACACTAGAAGGCTTAAGGCGTAGGGACTACACTGTATTGTTTCATTTAGGAAGAAGTCCACACTGCGTCAAAGGACCATACCAGTGTGTTTACAAGTTTTTGCTCCTTAACTGAAAGTCATGTATTGTTTATTTTTTTGCTGACCTCTTTTGTATGCATTCTATACATTATAGATTGCATATTATTGGATTGTATTGGATTGGATTTTATTGTGAAGTATTGTTTTCTACCAGTCCAGGCATCCATTGGTTCCACTGTTCATTTCTGTGTAAATATAAAATATTAATCCGATTTATATTTCTCTGTAATGTATTTTAACTGCAGAATGACTCTGCACACTGTTACTTAATAACAATAATGTAATGGAAGCCATATGGAAATAGAATCCAATGCACATTCAGATGTCTTCAATTCAGTAGCATTATTTTTAAAAAGGTCAGCTGTAATATGAATAAAATATATGTGATAAATGGGATGAAACCACTGGTATGGTCCTTTAACATGAGAATGCTGTCTGTTTCTGTTTTTTTTTTTCGTATCAATATTGAACTGTTTTTACAGTCTATGGATGGATACATGGAGCTAGCTGCAGCCTCTTAGATGACGTCAGTTTCCCCTGTCCTCCCTCTGGAGACTCCTCCCATTGAAGCTATTGTTTATCGGTGCTGCTGATGCAGCTGTTTCAGTGTGCGTGTATGTGTGTGAATGTGTGTGAGTGGGTGGGTGGGGATAGAGGCGCATGAGATCACTGGTGAGCAGCGAGCAGTCCCCAGCGCCATGTGGAAATCCACAAAGACGACTTCCTCTGAAACTAATTAATCGACGCCACAAGCCCATTACGCTCGGTTAAAACAATTAGCATCTGCACATTGCGTGGGGAAAGCATTGTCATCTCAGGCGAGAAAGGGGCATCACGCTGGGATATTAATGCCTGTGTGTGTGATCGAGCCAACGCTTCCCATTCGAATCAATGAAGCTGAGCGCCATATGAGGCAGATGTGTGGATAGGATCTATGGAATATCCTTTCAGGAACGGATATATGGGGGGGGGGAGACACCCCGCTGAAACAGAGGAGGTTTTAAATAACCAAGCCTTGTTTTTCCTTTAACTTGATGCGATGAGGTCACCGAATAACCCTTGCCAGAGAGAGGGAACATATGTTTTTCACTAACCCATAAACCCTCACATCCTCAAGCCCACTCCACTCACTTCAGCCAGATAATAGCCAGCTCCTCCTAACCCCTATTAGTGGCTCAGTCAAACGATCCATCCATTCCCATTGAGCGTCGACCACATGGAAGGCCCATTTCTTCCCTGTTGTGCCGAAATGAAGGCGACGCGGACCGCTTGACAGGGTAATTACTTTTAATGAAATAATACGGCCATTGTAGACAGCAATTAAAAGTCGCTCTCACTCCACTCATTAGAGGAACTTACAGTTTACTTTCATTCCTCTGTTTTCTAATGATCCGAAGGCAGGCCTGTTAAATCGAAAGGCTGGAGCATGTTAACCCCTGGGGACTGGCCCTTAGGTCCTGTTGACTGTGAGAGCACACAAACAAAGAGAGGAAGAGAGAATAAAAAAAAACACAGAGAGGCACATAAAACGATAGAAAGGTACATTCAGAACTGATCCACCAAACTTTCCACAAGTCAGTGCTCAGTTATCTGCACCGGAGACTCGAAGAAGCAAGTTCTCCCCAGGTGACCAGCTCTCGCAAACATCAAAATTTAATCCGATGCTTCCTTTTTTTCTTCTTTGTGTTAAAACAAGCGGGCAAACAAACATCAGAAATGCTGATATGTAATCAAAGATCCAGTATTTTTACAGATACTGTGATCTCATTTCATATAGTATTGATAGAAATACAAAGATGCATTAAAGCAGCCGCTATAAGTTCTCTTTTTAAAACACGCCAGCCAGCTTCAAGAAATGTTTGCCGATGTTTGCCGAGCTAACAAATGCAAATTGACCACCATTTCCTCACAAAAGTAACATTTCCATATTGCCTTAATGGGTTTTCTTTCTCCAGTCGTCCTTCTCATGAATTCACAGTCAGTGAGGCTTTCTAACTCCATCTCTGCCCCGCTCTTCTCTTCTCTTTTTCTTTTCTCTCTGCAGCAATTTGGAAAGATTTTAGATGTGGAGATTATCTTTAATGAGCGAGGATCCAAGGTAAGTGAACTAGAACGCCAGCTGCTTCATTACCATGTACTTCTTCTGTTTCCTAATGATGGCATTAGTGTAGTGTGTACATTGGCTGAGAGTAGTGGTCCCTAAGCCTGGTCCTGGAGAGCTGCATCCACCATGCCTCTCTTTCTCCCTCCCTCCCTATTGTTTTTGTTGTTGCAGCTCTAACCCAAGTTGTGAATCATTAGCCCTGTCAATCAATTCATTATTGAGCTGTTTCACAATTCACTTAATCCACCAGCAGGCTGTAGACCCTCAAACTCGTGGAATTGAAACTGCTTGTTTAGGGACCGGGTCCTCTTTGAAGCCTTGGTGTTGGTCCTACATTATTCAGGTTTTATCATTTTGTTTTTAAATATAGATAAGAATAAAGTTCTCTGGGAGGTTTTGGAAAATACCTCACATTTTAAGCTTTGGACAGACAAGAAATCATCTGTTCGCTATATGGAATATTTTACCCACATCTAAGATAATTTAATTTGTGATTTTAAAGGAGCCAGTGAAAGGATAAGCCTGGTGTTTTTCTAACATTTTTCCCACTGTCGATGAATCCTGTGAAAATACCAATACCAACTATGTATTTGTCCGTATGTCAGCACTTTCTGACTTCCCCACTCAGCTCTCAGCCCATTGCTTCCTACTGGAGATGTAAATCTATTGAAATTGAGTTGCGGACACACAGGTTTATTTTTTAAAAAGGCTCTGTAATTTCCTATAACAGCTGCTAACTGTAGTTTTTGGTCAGTGTTGCTTAAACAGAACTAAAGTTCTGTTGTTGGTACTATTTTCAGCTGTGCATGAATCCACATTTGGTGCTCCAGCTAGTATTTCTAGCAGCAGGATAGTGTATGTGGGATTGAGTCAAAATAAACTTCATGTTTTTGGACAATAGAGGAAAAACATACTTTAGTTTTGTTTTTTTAATGGGATTTGTGGACATTAAAGGACCAGTGTGTAACATTTATGAAGCTGTATTTGCAGAAATGGAATATAATATTCATAGTTATGTTTTCATTAGTGCATAATCACCTGAACATAAGAATAATTGTGTTTTCATTATGTTAGAATGAGCTGTTTTTATCTGCATAGGGAGCGGGTCCTCTTCTACAGAGTCCGCCACGTTTCTATTATGTTGTGATATTCTCAATAACAGTTTTCAGCATTATTAACATAAACTAGGATGTTACAGGGAATGATATATATATATATATATATATATATATACATAATAAACGTTTTTAAAATACTAAAAAACTAATACTAGTACTGATACGTTTCATGTGACCAGATCCTTGCCAGTACACAGCCCTAGTTTCTACAGAAGCTTAGAACAGACAAACCAAACACCGTCTCTAGATAGGATGTAGTATGTAGTTTCTCCTACACACTTGGAAGGGGAGCGGTAATCATTTGGCTGCAGTCTTCAGCTTCACTGTTAGATGTCACTAAATCCTACACACTGGTCTTTTAAGAAAAATACATAACATAGACAACCCTGTCCTTCTTAGTGGTAGAGAAAATCACAAATATCTGAAATATCTTTTAAAATCTTGTTTTAACTGTGCTTTCTTGCAAAGATTTGAGCATGTATGTATTAATTTCAAACCAAGAATACCTACAAGCCACCAGAAAAATAGGCACAGCGCTGCTGCGGTACTGCAGTATCAGTCTCCTAACCACCTACCATGGACAGGTGAAGCTTGCGGTGGTGTGAACAGCCGAGTGCTACTCATCCAGCTGTTCATTTAATAGAGTGTACTAAGCTCCACAGCTTTCCATTCATAAAGGAGACAGGATCCCTGGCTGGGTGTTGAGGCATGAATACTATTGATTCCCATTCATACCTGGGAGTAGTTTGGGCTCGTATACAGGCATGCAGAGAGCCCTGCAACCAGGCGACGCTGCTGCACTCAGCCCTCTCTGCCAGACAAGATTGAGCACCGGATAAACCTGCCTCCTCCGCCGTAACAAGCATTTATTGTTTGTGCCCTACAAAGCCATTACCCATGATGCCTCTCTCTCTCTCTCCCACACCCTGTGTGCTACATAATGAACCTACCAGGCCATTAATAAACAATCTATTTCCTATGAAGCTTTGGCAATTTGCATTCAATATGTTTGTCTCCTTTGAAAAATGGTGGCTCCACTCTCCCCTCTTGTAAGCTAATTATTTGTGCATGATAAAAAAAAAAAAAGATAGAGGGGGTAACCACAGTCGGGTGAATGTCCAAAGGATTAATTTTGCCCTCAATTCCTTTTTTGAATTTATTTCTTTATCTCTCTTTCCCCAAGGACAGGTCCCATGTTATTTATGCTAGGAATAGCAGCCCGGAGATCCTGTGTATGCATACGAGATCACACTGCTCGCCATCTCTCACATGTATTACATCCTCAAGCAATTATCAGGCAGCGTCGGCCATGCTCCCTCTTCCCCTGCCCATACCTCTATAAGTATATATAGAAACCAAAGGAATGGGACTTGTTTGGCCAGCATATCTTAATGCTTCTGCTATAGAGCTCAGGTCCAGTATCCCAGTCCACATAACTCAAGGAAGTGACAAACCCCCCAGGGGAGCGAGGGAGACAGAGAGTTGGGAGGGGGGGGATGGAAATGAGAGGTTGGGTATATTTTGGTCGGGGTTTAAAGTCAATATCCTCGCTTCTCTATCACAGAGGATGGTATTTGCGGTGACACCATTCACTTTTTCGCATCAATGGGCCGGTGTAATTTTGCCTCCATAAAAATGTCCTACTTATTAGAGCAGTGAATTAGAAACAGTCAGAGATCAAGTTAACATCTCTCTTCGGAGAATTCACACTCCTTCTCCTGTTGCCCACGTCTTCAAAAGGGAGACAGGGCCGTTTGAGCGGCCACGCTGCTGAAGTTGTGTAGATAATTATACGACTATTATGGCAGCTAACACAGTGTTTTGCATCCACTGCTTCCTGACATTCACCCACGGCACCGGTGCTGTGCTGTTTAATTGGGTAAAGCCGGCAGGTTTGTTGGTGTTGTTGTGTGAGGTCATGTCACCGTTATCCTCTCCTCCTCGGATCTCTCTGTTTGCTGTGTCCTGACGCCTCACTAACTGCCTCTAATTAATCTGGCTGCTTACAACTCGACTCTGCCGCCGCTGCTGCTCACCTACTCCTGTCTTCTCACCTCTCTTTCCCTTCTCTCCTCCCTTCCCCTTTCTTTTTGTGTGTGTGAATGTGTGTGTGTGTGTGTGTGTGTCCATTTCTTTCCCTCTCCCTTTTCTCTACCGGTGGCTAACGTGGCGCTCTCAGGGCTTTGGGTTTGTAACTTTTGAAACAAGCACAGATGCCGATCGTGCACGGGAGAAACTAAACGGTACAATCGTAGAGGGCCGCAAAATAGAGGTGCTTTCCTTTTTTCCCTATCTTTTTCTACTTCCTGCCTGCTGCCTCCTAAACGTACCTATAAACCCATGCATTAGCATGTGGCTGCTATGTGTGTGTGTGTGGATCTGCATCCCTGAATGTATGTGTGCCTGGATGCATGCATGCATAATGGTGCGTATAACTTGTTCTCAGTAGAATGCGGGATCCATACATGTCAACCTGGACACGCCAGTTGTCCATCATTACCTGACAATGCAGAATGAATGCATGCCATCATCCCCTGGGTTCCTGTCATATTTGAGAAGGCCTGCATTTCCCTGTCACCATCGTTTAGTGTTGCCTGCTCTAATTCTGCTCTTGTTTACGACGAGCCGAGTCCCCACTCAGTCATTCTCATCAGGTCAATAGAAGAAAATCAAAGCGCTGTCTGTGTTTTTCTTTTGGAATCCATTTGTTTACCCTACCAATTACTGAATTTGGAGGACGTTCTTTTTTTTTATTCATACCTGTGGGTAATTGGTGCATGCTTTCCCCCTCTTTCCAGTAATTTAATAATGTGTAAGAGAATTGAAACGATGAATAAATTCATGAAAGGGTGAACCCAAACTCAATCACACCAAAGTGCTACAAACATTTACATAATCATTTATTTATTTATCTATTGTTTTATGAATTTGCCTTCATTGGTCTTGGTTTGCTGCTTGCTTTTGGCCCATCCTAGATATCTGGAAAGTAAATGTGAAGGATGTGAAGGTCAGTGATAACTGGCCCGTGTCTTTTTTTCCTTTGAACAGGTGAATAATGCAACAGCACGAGTGATGACAAACAAAAAAGTTGCCAACCCGTACACGAATGGTAAGTGCCATAAAATAAAATAAAAAACCTAAAAACAATAGCATTTACATTGAGTTCTGTTTATCAGTGGAGTTTTCTTTCTGTTCACCAGGCTGGAAGCTGAATCCAGTGGTAGGAGCTGTCTACGGTCCTGAACTGTATGCTGGTAAGAGACCAGCTTCTGCACAATCATGAGTGTTTTCTCTCTCTGCCTTCCACCACATGTTCTGCTCCGTACCTGAGGCCACTATCAGCCGCAGCCAATCCCAATCTGACCCTGGAATTTCTACAATCGGGCTCATCCTGAACCTACTGAACATGAAATTCCCCTCAAATCAAAGTGAATCTGAGAGCGGCCCAGATAAGCAGTGGATGATCCAAGCCTCTCTGAGTGGCTGAGGGAGCCTGAGCCATTGTTTGCGCGGTGTGCAACTGTAAAGCTGAAAAAAATGATTTCAAGAGCAAGCGCCCCTGCAACTGTTATCAGATTGTGGAGGCTGCTGCTGTGGATGGATTTTCCAAGTGCGCCAGATTGACTTTTACAGAGCTAACCGAATAAGGGAGATTGAGTGAGCGATATTGTTGGCACCTACCCTGTCGAAGGCCACTATTCCTTCTGGTCTCAGTAATGGAGGAATGAGATGAGCTCAGTGGGGTTTTCCCTATCTCTCTCTGCCTCGACATGCCAGCTTTATTGCTGTATGTTATATGAACCCTTTGCATTTTAATGAGGGGGAAATGGTACTATTTCATTTGGAAGAAGTGCTGAGCACATCGCGCCACTTTAACGGCTTTCCTTTCTGCTCATTAGACTAAAATCTGTTCATTCCCCGGACAGCTTTACGGCGAACCTCTAAATAACTGTCCATGACAGAAAGCAGTCATCTATCATTTTTATTTCATCCCCAACCCCTCACCCTCTCCATGCCTCCTCCCCTGCCTCCCACACACCTCCTCCTCCTCCCCCCAACGCTCCCTTGATTTCGACATCTTCCCCTGATAATTATACACACACACAAACGTACACACACCCCTCTGTGGGTGCATGCACATGCTCAAACATATACATTATGCCATGGTCAGCTGGAATTTTCTCTCAATTAAAAATCTGGACATTAAGTAAGTCTAACCTTATATTAACAATCATGTCACTGACCCATATACACACACAACACTATCCTCTGCCCTGTTTTTTTACACTCAGACCAACGCATTCCAGCATACAGAAATAGATAACCTATGTAGAACACAGACACTAATACATGTCCCCTCTTTCATGCGCACTTTCTCCATTTTACGCTCACACACACTTACGCGCACACACACTTCCCAAATCATCTCATAAATCAGAGGGAGTGTGGTCCACCACTCCAGGCAGGGGAAGCAGGAGGGGTTGGGTGATTTATTGGCTGCTAATTTTTCAAGTCGTCTTGACATGGCACTGGAGTTTGCCAAGCCTAAACGACAACATATGCTTGCCAGCTGGGAAGATGGGAAACATAAATAAGAGATACATTTTTGAAACCAAGCCGCCCTGATGAGCAGCAAAAGGCCGTTTTAGCTCTAAAAAAAATCAGAAAAAAAAAAATCACGGACCTTTGACTATGATGTTCCTTCCCTCTCTAAGAAAAAAAAAACAAGAATCAGGTTCGTGAGATTCAGGATATATTCCAAAATCATTATGGCTACAGTTAATATACTTTTGGTGGGATATAAAGGCGATTAATCACTGTTTATCAGTCTTCATTTCTGTGCGGGAGATCAGTGAAATTGGGAGCCATAAATCCTGGCCCGGTGACAGCACACTTCGTCTCCATTCGTCCTGGCGCTACAGGTTTATTGTCCTCAAAACCCATTCAGGAGAATGACGGATGAGAGCCTCATGCCGGCTCCCCGCTCTTAACCTCTTCCAGGGTAGATTGGCTCCTCCTACTGATGGAGGAGGGGGGGTGGGGGGTAGTTGGTAGGGTAAAGGCAGGCGGCGCCAACCCCAAGTCCATGTCCTCTGTTGCCACCTAACACCCAAACCTCCCCCAGAGCCCTGCTGGAGGGAGGAGGGGGTCGTGGTCCAGGAAAGAGGAGCAAGGTGATTGGGTTCCCAGTCAAATGGAGGGATTGGCAATAAAACATGGCAGTGGCACAAATCATGGTGTGTGGCAGCTGGTAGGCATCCAGTGTCTGTGCTCACCTTTGTCCTCTTTTACTGTGCGCTGATCTGGTTTACATGAAAACTTTTGTAGAGCAAACCCCAGAATCTGTCCTCCACTGCCTCATCTATATAGGTCTGTCCATATATAACAGCAAACATCTGACTGTCTTTGTCCTGGTCCATTTTATTAGCTTAAAGACACGTCTGCATATTTTAATTAATATTTTAATTATATATCCAGGAAGTGGGTGTGTGGAAAAAGCTAATACAAATATCAGCAATTACAGGTCCTATGTGTAGACTTCTGCATCATAAAGTTTTAATTTGCGTTTATATGTTGTTTTTGACATCCATGTTAGTGTGGTTATCTACATATGTATTGGTGCATGAATAGGATAAAATATGGATCAGTTTAATTATTTCAAATTAATACTTTTTTTATTTTCTCATTTATTATATAAAATAAGATTGATTCATATTTTGTAAAAACATGAAAAAATGCAGTTAAATAAATAAGAAAAACATTCCGAGGCAGATCTGTGTGCAGTACATACTGCACTATTAACTCATTTTACAATAATTGGCAAACTTTTGTGAATGATTCCTCGTGTTGGATGTTTTCAGCACCATGGACAGCTGCCACTTAGAAATCCCCTCATATGGCCAGCCCCCTCAGGCTAAGAGAGAGAGAGACTCTCCTCAGCAGCTAATTCCTAAGGAGACAGCAGATGAGTAGCTTTTCATTCACCAGTTCATATTTTCTGCCACTAAGGTGGAGTTTTCTTGAGGACTTGTGAAAAGCTACCAGCTGTGTAAATGACAGAAACGAAAGGCTAATTGCCATCTTAATATATGTAGACAGATCCTTTCATTGTTGGAGTGTACGTTAGGGGGATAATTAAGCTCCAGACTCTTGATTAGATTAAGCTGTTTTTGGTCCCCAGTGCGTGGATTAAGTGCTCATTGCCCGATGTATTTGAGCAGGAAGTATTAGAGAGATCAACCTTGTGGAAAATCAGATCTTTCTTTATGGGAGCCGGTTATGACCCCATCATTGGCACAGAGCTGGATTACCTCAGGTCCAACTGGCTCTGCAGGTATTGAGCTTCTCTCAAGTTGACACATATGACATATGAGGTGCAGCGTGACCCCGCCGCCCTCCAGCGCATAACTCATATTTTCTCCAGCCCCCCTCCCGGAAAAGGTGTTTGACTTTGGTGGCTAGACCAGGTTTGTGCTCTCATACACCGTGGCTGTTGTTGCTTTTCACGGGCTTACCAAGGTGTGACAGTGCCTTTGATTTATGGGTTATTATTGAAGCAGTGTAGCCTATCGCCAACTCATTATAAGTTTACATTCACATACATCACTGCATGCATATTGCATACAAATTTCCAAAAAAGAAAGAAAGAGGCAATTGGACTCTCTAGGGCCCAGAAATAGTAGCGATTTGTTAAGAGGAGGGGGAAAAAAACACACCTCTGAAACTATCAAAGAGGATTGTTTTTGCCCTTTAGCAACTGCGCTCAGATGTCCACTGCTCCAAAAAAAGAGACTAATTTAAATGTCAAGGTCAGCATTATAAATCACTTGGGGGAAAGGGGGCACCCTGTGAGTCCGGGCAGTCTATTGGTACGTTGGCAGCAAACAAAGTGCCATGCACCTTTGTGGGTGTGTGGAGGGGGGCTATGTGGGCGTTACCTGGCCAAATGAGACGCAGAGTTTGAATATGTGTGCGGACCCACTAATGGAGCATGATGTTAATGGCAGAAGACATTAAACCTGGCTCTCTGTGTTTTTAAAAGCACCACTAATCCGTCTCCCTGTCAGCTTTATTGAAGCAGCGGGGCTAGGGTGTGCATCGTTCATTAGGGTGCTCACTGGCCTCGTCCACCTGCAGGGTTAACGCTGCACACGGCACAGTAACGCCGAGCCGTCGCTCCCCAGGCAGAAACATATACGCTGCCCATTATATACAACCTACCATGGATCTTCATTCCATTCTAGTTTATCTGCGAAAGCGAGGGACTGCCTGCCGTCTCCTCTGTGGCAGCAGGTTCATCTGAAACACATCGGATACATGTTATTAACCCGTGTTATTCACCCCAACTGAGCAGCCAACCCCCACCCCAAACAAGACCAGACAGGAGCCTCACAGCTCCTCATCACAGAGTGATCTCTGATTGGAGAAACTGAAGTGGTCCGTGATGAATTCAGCCAAAACATGTCATGGAAATGAATAAAATAGAATAAGGTGAGGGGAGGGTGATGAGGGGGCGTTTTCTGGGATGAAGAATAATGGGGATGACTGTGTTGTGATGGACTAGGCATTGGGGGAGGGAGAGAAGGTGAGGAACAGGGGGATGTAAGGGAATTTCGATTGCTGGAATAGAGGAGGCCAACTTAATCATGTCTAGAGATCGGTGTGTTTGTATGCACCTCCACAGCTTGTAATCAGACAGCCAGTGGACTGATTGAAGGTTAAATAGAAGGCTGAGGATCACATCGCCTGTCCTCTAATCTGTGACCGCAGACATTTTGTCGCACCATCACGCCAACCCTTGCTACTCACCCTGACGCCTTTCACCACAACTCTGCCTTTCTGATTCACTGGTAGCCGTCAGCAGAGGACATACAGTACGTAGCTGTGTGATTGGCTAAAGATGGTCCCAGATGGGTTTCGATATGGGGGTCACGCTGAGGTTTGGGCCTTGGCTGTCCAGCCCATCTGCTCCATTTCCCCTTGGGCAAAGTTCTGAACATCTAGTCAGGTTGTTGAACAACGTTCACCTCCCATTTGACTCTACCCAACACCTAGAAACGCCCTCTACCTCTCCCCTGTCCACCCTCCCACTGTTCTCCTCGCTGCTAGACCATTGTGTCTAAACTATGCAAAAGCCGTGGTGCGAAACTAGTGGTATTGCATCCATTACCTGCCTATGCTTCAAGGCTGCCCCTCGCCAGGCACCAGGAAAGGATGCGTACAGCAAATGTGGATCCTTGCTGAGTACGGCACAAAGCAGCGAGCTGGGAAAGGGGAGAGTGCTCGATGAGGCGCACCTAGAAAAGATTAAATCTATTGTTTCCTTGTCTTCCCCATAATGCATTCTGTCATAGGGAAAGCAGTGCCACACGTCTCTCTAATGTATTCTGTCATAAGGTAAGCAATGCCAAGTCGAGGATGTTCTCTGAAAGTCATTTTCTGTTCTCTTGTGTGTGTCTTTCCATAGTAACAGGGTTTCCCTACCCTGCCACAGGCGCTACAGTGGCCTATAGGGGTGCCCACTTGCGAGGCCGGGGGCGGGCTGTGTATAACACATTCCGCACAGCTCCACCGCCGCCACCAATCCCAGCTTATGGAGCGTGAGTATTGAATCTCTAACTTGAATCTAGAAAACAACAATGAGTGCTTCAGACAGTAGCAGACCTTTAGTTGTGTTCATGCTGTATGAGTGTGTGTGACTGTATACAAGACCTTTCTGCTCCAATTACCTGTGTGCATGCACATGCTGGAGTTGTACATACTGTATTTGGATTTCTAGTTTTGTAAGTAACAAGTTACTATATACTGTAGGATTAGACCAAGCATTGTCAATATTGAAATGAATATTAAACTAAAATTTGTTAGAATGTTGAAATGGTGTACAATCTGGTGGAAAGCTTCTTCTCTTTAACATGGTCAAACGGTACGCACACTTGGTTGTCAAGTGTAAAAAGGAACTGTCAAGTAGTTAATACGACCAGTACTATCACAGGGAAACCACAGATGCAAATAAGCAGCAGGCATGTAGCCCTTCACATAACAAGTCATCCGTCCCATCCATTTGAATTGCTTCCCTCAGGAAGGTGCTTTAGACTGCCAAGAGCCACCAAAAACATCTACAAGAAATCATTTGTCCCAAGTGCAGTTAAATTGTTAAATTATTAATTACATAGTGAATCGTACAGGACCACTCCCTCACCTCACCCTAGCGGAATTTGTACATTTTGATGATTGAACTCCAAGATCTTCCAATTTAGTGTTTCTACTATTGTCTTATTTGTAATCCATGTTGATTGCCGTGCAGCCAAAGAAATGTTCCACATCGTGGACAATAAAGTAACCTAAGCTAATACTGCTCATCAGGTCTCAGTCCATTTACTTTGTTATTCTACCTGGGGAGTAGAATCATTGCTGGTATCTAGGTATGTAGATGCCCTAACTCTGCCCATCCGTGTATTTGTACGTTGTCTGTTGACAAAGAAGGAACTAACAAAGCCATAGGGAGAGCTGTAGAGAGCTGTAGAGAGCTGAGATAGCGTATTACTGGGCAGATCTCACTGGACTGTGACCAGGGCCTATGCTGATCTCCTGGCTTTGTGAAGCCCTGCCTCACACTCGTCTCTTATCAGCAGTGGTCTGTGTGGCCGTGGGAGAGGTCTGACGGAGACCGACCGAGGGCCCAGTATAGCTGTCTATCTGTGATTAGATCAGGATCCGTCTTACTGCAGAGAGACTCTCCGCTGAAGCCCGGACTGGAAATCCCACGTCCCCTTTCCCCTCCCTCCCACTCCAGGGCCCTTTGCTACTGATGGCAGCTGGTTGATTTATATAGCGAAGTCATGTGACGGAGCTCTTTCGCTGCCTTGTTTTGTCCGCCCCTCCTCTCCCCACCACCACCAGCCCTCCTGACAACACTGCAGCAACTGGAAAGACAAACAATTTTACCAGAGCAGAAAATTGGACGGGGATGTGAAACGGTTGCACTTTTCACTTTAATGTGTCATTCATTATTTGTGGTACAGTACACTAAAGCTGCTAAGAGCTGACCCTACAGACCCGCAAATGGTTGAAATAGGAAGAACGTCAAGGGCTGAGATTCAGTGGGGTAGCATGTGCACCAAATCAACTAACGCTCCTTTCCTGTTCTCTAATTTCACAGGGTGGTGTACCAAGATGGCTTCTATGGTGCAGAGATCTATGTAAGTACAGTTGGCTGTTCCTCTTGCCTGCTTAGATGAAACAGAAGTAAAGCAGACAAAAAGCCCAGCCCTGGAGACAAAAACGTGATCTCCTCAGCCCCCGGCGTTCTCCCAGCCTCGCTGCCAAGCCGGCGTCGATTAGGCCTCTGTCTCCTGTGCCAAGAAACCCAACAACAAAATTTAAAACCCCCTCAGCTCCTCCCTCCTCTCTCTCTTCTCTCTTCCTATGATCTCAGACTTTGGCAAAGAGGCAGACCCGGGCTCAGTGTCCCGTGTCAAGTTAGGTCATTTCTTACTTTAGATTTGTCTGGGTTTCCCCGAACCGCTCGCTTTCTCGCTACCTCTCTCCTCCTCTCTCCTGTTTTGTGTTTGTATACACTCAGAGGGTTTGGCTGGGATATCCCTGCCTGCCCCAGGGGGTCTGTGCAGGCCTGAGTGGAGCCGGTTTCTCCCAGCCATCACCATGTGGGAGATAAGAGGAGCGGCAGCAGATAAAGGGATTAGCCGTCCCTCTGGAGCTGTCCGTGCAGGCAGGGTCACATCAGGGGCTGGCCCTGCTGCACGTCGCCCTTGACAGAGAAAAGCATGGACGCTGTGGAGATAATGCTGAAATTACCACGCTGCCCCACTTTGACATTAGTCCAAACGTTTGTGGGAGGATGTAATTTGTCCCTTTGATTCTGCTGCTTTATTTCTCTGCCACCGTCTGCTGAGATAGTGAGATGACAGTGGGCACAGCAGCAGTGACAGTTGCCTCTCACTTTCACCCTGACGACGACCAGTGTCTGGGAACCAAAGTGCTGAACCCCAGTGATATATGGCTTACACGCCAGCCCACATGATAGGACTGTATTTCACTGTTTTTTATTGTAGCCACATCCACCACCATAGACGAGACCTGGGCTGTTTGTCTCTCACACTCGCTCAGCCACCTCCAGCTAAGTCCTGCACCCCGATGTCCCTTGACCAAGACCTGGCCAGGTTGGTCCATCACTCAACCCGTCATGCCAGCCCCTGGTGCTTTACTGCCATTAGTTTTGGCACTGGCCACTGCACTGCTTCAGACTGGCTGAGTGTGCGTGAAGGTCTCGAGTGACCAAGAGGAAGCTGTCCCTTAGCCCTCAGTGTCCTCCGCAATCATTCAGTGGACACTGGCTTGCTGTCAAAAGCAGCCGGTTGATGTGTCGAAGCTTTCTTTTGAAAATAGATGACCCGCTAATACATTAGCAGAAAGGGAAACCGAATGCATATACACCACATAAATCGCATGCGCTAATACATATTCATGCATGCACCTTCATGTAGAAACACACATGAAAGTGCACACATACATGAATGCACAAACTCACAGTCCGCACGACAAAATAACAAATGTGCTGCACTGTTGTGTGCAGGATTTGACAATGTGGGAGAGTGATTTATTGGTCCGTGTTTGTTCAGGCTGTTGCTGTAATCAGCACGGTCCCAAGGCATAGTCGTCCCACAGGAAGTCATCTGCTTCACGTGCTGCGACTTCCTGTCTCTGTGGAAAACCTTGAGTGGAATTGGGGGAGTGAGATTCAATTGCTGTGGCCCCTGACCTGATTTCATGCGCAGCCGCGGCCGCGACCATCACACCGTCGCCTCTCTGCGCCGCTCTCCGTTGGACGTCTTTCCCCTTGAGTTTAAAAATGAATGAAAACATGCATTATTAAAAGCCACCTATCCACCGTATGGACGCAGATGGGCACACACTCCACTGGCGCTAATAGAAAAACAGTGGGAGAACAGCTTCATTTTTCAAAGAGAGTAATAGCAGCACTCCACAATGAGGTCTTTAATTCCTTCCCCACTCTGGCAAATGAATACAGCGGTCCTGACTCCCCAACGGTCCAACCGTCTTCTGCCTTCTTACTTCATTTGTGAGCCAGGGGGGTCGTGTAAAGGAAAAAGGGGCTTTTTAATAATGTATCAGCAGAACCTCCTCAATCTAAAAATGGGCTGAATTTGGGGAGTTGGCTCACGTGGCCTCTGTTATGCTGTTGCTGCTACTCGAATGAACCTCTAGTGTGACAATGACTCGGTCCCCCCAAAAGATGCTGCCTCTGAGAACATTATTCATCCCCCCTGTTGCCACCACTTGCCTAATACACCATATATCAAACAGCACCCTCTGGTGTCTGAAAGGTAACCTGCAGCTGGGTGATGAACAGATGATCAAAATACTGTGCAGTGACATTTAACTGTTAAGGCAATTTAAAGCTTTTTATCTGTATTGTTGTTTCTTTGTGTCTCTGAGATCTAACCTTTCTCTGTGCAGGTTGAGCTTAATCATTGATTAACACTGTGCTATTTTTACAGGGTGGCTATGCAGCATACAGATTTGCCCAGCCCACCACCACCGCTGCTTACAGTGACAGGTGAGAATCCCTCCCATTCAGTTTTCCTCTTTTTAGACTGCATTGAGAGACTAAAATGAATGTATTGCATGCTTCAACAGCGCCAGATTGTATAGCTTATGAATTATAAAGTATCAGAAATCAATATATGAATCATTATGTAACCACAGTGGCCTTAGAGGCAAAATCCACCATCAAATGCATAATTATATTAATGTATCTTTAATTTCGGGATCAATTTAGTTTCAGTTTTTTGCTATCTGTATGTTTCTCTTATTTCCATCAAACATAATCAATGTGATGTCAAGATTCCTGCTAAAATGCAAATTCACAGAACAGAACAGCATGAGCAAGAGTCTCTTTCTTAAGTTACTATTTTGCACGTGCTCCAGACAACACGGAGAAATCCATCGCAGAGATTGCAGCAGCAGCAGCAGGCAGGATAAACAGAATGTAATGCCGAGTTTAGACACGTCTATATTATGTTCGACAAGCTATATTTGTTAATGTGGACTTCGATTTAAAGCAACAAGTTGATCCTGCAGGCTGTCAAATAGAGGAAATTACTGACAGGAGTAGAAATAGATGAGGAAGATTGAAGGAAAACAAGTATGCAGCAAAACGCACTTCATCGCAAAATAATCCAGTAAACATCACAGAATGATATCTAACAATGTAGAGGTAGCAAAGGCTGTTTTTTGTTTGAATTATAGTCTTTTTTTAACAAAAAGCAACACGTCTACTGGCGAATCGCAGATGGATAATGTATGTGATGGATGGAGGGACTGCCTCACCAGCATTTTCTATATTTTCAATATTCTATGTAGGTTATTTGGGGTTTCTCTGGTTTTTTCTTTCTCTCCAGTTATCTTATCTATTAGGCAAACCGGCGTATTCTTTTTAGCTTGGAGCTAAAGAACACAAAAAAAGACTAACCTTGTTGGACTCAATGAGAAAAGCAGTGATATATGTCATGACTCCCTGCTTGTGATGGGAGTGTGGGTATATCACTGCGGTATTTATGAATGGCCTCAGGTCTGTGGAAGGGAGGTAGAGAGACAGAGAGGGGGAGAGATGGACCGTCAGGAGCTCTATCACTTCTGAGTGATGTCACTCCGGTTCAGGTGTGCTCCGTTTGAGGAGGCGTCGCTGATTCATTTCGGCCCCTGAAAGCCGTTGTCAGCCGGGATGTGGGCTGGTTTGGGAATCTAATCTGGGAAGGATTGAGCATGTCACTTGTGATAACGTACACCCTGCCTGAGAGCCTGAAGATCATATCGATAATGTAAGATTTATCAGGCCTCGCCGCGGCTCGAATTATGAGCAGCCGTGCTCGGCGAGAGCAGAAATTGGACAGCAGCTTTTTTTTTCTCTCAGAGTGATTTAATTCCTGTTTCTCTTGCCTATACTTTTCCCTGAGATTTAATGTAATTCGCCCCCAAGTTGTTTGTTTTGCTTTGTCTGTTTGTTTCCTTTTGAATAAGCGGTCATGCCCATTGGATCAATAGGGGTTTGTCGGTATTGTCTCAGCAATACCTTATCAGACTTAACAGTGGAGCAGTCAGCCAATCATAAAAAGAGGTCACCAGGATTGTGGAAGGCGTGTGAAACCCCTGCAAAATATGAAACATTTATTATCTGAAAAGCCTACAGTGCTCACTGGCTGCATTACCAAAGCCCTTTAAGTAACTAAACAGAGTTCATAGCAGTGAGTCTGATGTATGAAAGAGGCCTTGTGAGGAGCCAGTCACATTGAAGAGACCCTGCCGGCTTCCAATCAGCTCTGTCGAGGCTCTGTGACATTGCACAGGGTGGTTTGACCTGCCGGTCGTCAGCAGTGCCACTCTGGTGAGAGTCATTTTGTAGATATATTAGCCTTAGAGGGCCTGTGGGGTTCGGTGCTCACTGAAGATAAGAGGACCACGGAGACTTCCCCTGACCATCTCATGGCACCGGCCTCCTCCCCAAGGAGCCGAGACAGCCTTTCTGATTTCACGTCCTGCTCACTGACCTTGGGTGCTGCTGGACTTAAATGGGCCGAGCCATATTTAGATCTTATATAACTCAATGTAGTTCATGCGAAAGGCATGAACGCTGTATGTCTTGTTGTCTCCTTTAGGAGAATTTCTTCCTCTCTCCATTTTTTTTATTCCTGGTTGATTTGGTGCCCTCAGTCCTTGGCTGGGTGTGCCTTATCTGCTCCATGCAGACCCTCATTTGCAAGCGAGCATTGAAAAAAAAAAAGGAAAGTAAATAGAGGAATATGTGAAGTCGAATAAATAAATAAATAAGGCAGACACATCTTGTCCTGTCTCAGAAGGAAATTGGAAGGATTAGTTCCAAACCAGCAACAATGAAAAGACAGGGGCGTGAGCCCAGTGTGCAGCCTGGGTAAACAAGAACAGGGTGAGAGACCAAGCCCTCCAGCACCGACTGTGTTCCCTCCGCATCCTTCTTTCTCTCCGTCTCCCTCGCTATGTGCTCATTACCTATTCCATCCACCTAATCAAGATGACAATGAAAAGACAAGTATAATTCACCAACCTTTGAACTCCCCTTTTTGAACCACCTTGTATAATGTAGGAAGCCCAGGAGGCCGAGGAGGGAAATAATTGATTGTGTTAGAGACTTGAAAGAGTTGACTTGAGGGGTTGAGCATTAAACAAGCATGCATAAATGTTCTGCTCTCCTCGTCAATGATAGATCAATGACCGTGTTCTTTGTGCCTCCCGTTGTGCAGCTATGGCAGAGTCTATGCAACAGCAGACCCCTACCACCACACGATTGGCCCTGCCGCCACATACAGTGTGGGGACTATGGTAAGTCTGTGAGAGCGCCGCCCGTTACTGTCTACACCCTGTGTGAAACATCACGACACCAGCTAGCACACACACGACTCACACTCCAAAATAAAGACCAGAGGCTGCAGCGGTCACTGGTTTTTATTTATGTATTTATTCATCAATTGATTTAGTTTTTGTCATGCTATCTGGCACACCCTAGTGTTGCTGAGCAGTACTGTAAAAGCCTGGCATGTGGAAATTGGCTCAGACATTTAGTGCAACAGACGTATGTTATGCCACGCAATCTCACCTCATGCAATATTCATCTGACACGAGTTCCTCCTGAAACGAGAATGAGTGATTACTGTAGCGTGTGTTTTTTTTTTTAAACGTACACTTTGCATTTTACATAAAAACTACATTTCCAAGCTTTCTGTTGATTCTACATCACTCAGCTCGCTACAGAGTGAGTTGGATCATCTTTATTTTTTTCCATTCAGCCAAACCAAACTTGAAGGGATAAAGTTGAATTGTTAATGTCTGTTTTTAGCTAGCTTTTGCAGCTACTGTAACATCAAAGATGAAAAGTGATGATAAATAAAAGAGCGTCTTTCTTTGAAACGGAGAGCGTTTCTCTTTGGTTTGTGTTTTATGATGATGAGGGGACGGGACCGGGCTCACAGACCAAACCTAGAGATTAAGGACCATCAAACGCATGCAGCAGTGTGCCGTGGGACATAAAAGAGAGAGCAAGACGGAGGGAGGGAGTTGTCTCGCCCTCCCCTTCTGCCCACAAGCTTGATCGGAGGCGTGCTCTCTGCTTGAAAAATGACTCAAATTTACCATTCCGGCATGCATGCGATTTTTCAACAGCATAAAAAAAAGCGTACAGTTCCCCGGTGCAGCTGCTAGCTAAAAGCTTTCATTAATTAAGACATTTCTTTTTCCTCTTCATTTACTTAATTAAAAATGTGCTTGAATGTTTTTTATTCTTTCTTCTTTTTCCTCCAAATTTCCTTCCATTTCTCTGATACTTTGTTCGTCCTCTCGATGAAAGCAGAAGACAGGATTTGGCCCCTAAAAATATTAGAGCTAATGTGGTGTGTGTTGGGAGCTCAGGGAGCTAACACAGACTCCAGAGGGTGTGTGTGTGTGTGTGTGTGTGTGTGTTCGTGTGGTGTTGAACAAATGGCGAGGCTACTGGGAGATGGGCTGTTCTGAGGCCAGCGTCAAATAAACTCGTGAGCGAGGGGAGAAGAGAAAAGACCAGTTTGGTTCCTAATTCTTTAATCATATTTGATTAATGATTCTCCAGCAGAGAGGAGTCATTTTTGCATTTAAAAGCTATACAATAATTAGTTCCTCTGAGGTTGGAAATTCTCTCTTTACTCATTTCCAGCATACAGAAGCATCTCATACTGTATGGATGAAAGTTTTGTAGAAGCAAGAGGGCTCCCCGAAATTAGGCAGAATTAGCCTTTGAAGACATTCAGTAGCCTTTGGAGTTCGTCTGAATTTCCTAATTGCAGCAGAGCCACCGAAAGATGAGAGGAGGGACTGTGTGTGTGTGTGTGTGTGTGTGCATGTGCAGGTGTGCATGCATAGGCCCACATGCATGCTTTATGTGTGTGTCTGCCCTAGATATCTTGAGCATGGTGCTTAATCTAAGGGCTAATATCCTGTGGTGGTTTGCCCCTCCAGAAAGGGGCAGACACCTCCGCTAGACTTGAAAAGGAGCTGTGATTAAACCCCTCTGAACTTATTCTGCTTATATTGTTACAGCCTGAAAAGGAATGGTTTTCCTCAAGTAAAAAAAGCACAAAGCACACAAAATTTTAATTAACTGCTTAATGTAATAAATTCAAGGAAATACATCAGACCAAGCCCAGTGTTTCTATGAATTTTTTCTCCAAGAAAGTGTTCTTTTTGCTGTGATACTCTATTAAAAAATTAAGTCCACCAGTCCACCTTAACTCCCGATAACCCTGTTCCTAACACACACTCCAATTATTGGCTTAAATATATCAAACTATCAATCCGCCTCATGATCATTCCCATATGGAAACCATTATGCAGATATGAAAACCTATAAAAAATAACCCACATGGAAAGAGGAAGGAAATTTGTGGAGAAAGAGAAACGGACTAAAGCTGTCACCTGAATACTGATTGGTACTTTTTCATCTTTGATGTTGCAGGCTAGCCTATACAGAGGAGGGTACAGTCGCTTCACTCCCTACTAAAAGAAAGAAAAAAAGCGAGAAAAGACAGAGACATTACCCCAACAAACAAACAAAAAAACGATCTAAAAAAAAAAAACTCAAAACAAGTGAGCACCCGGTCCTTGGTGGAGAGCTAAATCAAACTAAAAGCTTCCAGGTCCCCATGCTGAGCCCCTCCCCTGACACCCTCTCAAGCCGATATTTCTACAACAACCTATTTGATGTCATCATTGGTCTGCTCTTGTTTTGTATTCATTTTGTGCTTTTGGTTTTCTTTTGGAAAGTTTTATGCACATGTGCATTACCTTGACTGCTGTATATGGGTGCTGTGTCACCATAACCAATGTGAGCCTACTGCAGCACGCATGATGCATGCTCAGAGGTGTGTGTATGCAGCCGCTGTCATCTGACTAAGAATATACTGGGGCATTTTTATGATATATATATATATGAGAAACGTACCAGGTCTGATCAGGCTGACACTGATCACTGATCCATCCCAGTTTATTACTTTTCTAACCTTTATCTTCCAATTAACACACAGTAATAAAGCTCAGTCCACACGCTGACTAACATGCCTTGGTAATTCTTAGTTCAAAGACGGCACTGCTCTGATTGCTTTTGTTTTCCTTTAAACGTTGGAGTCCTACTGTTGTGCACTTGCAGTGGAGCCTTACGAGCTGTACTATGTGGTATGACAGCATGCAGAGTAAAGGGTCATGAAGGTCAGATTTTTGTCTTGGACTCACAATGCTCATACTACCGCCCAGTCTCCTGCAAATTACAGAGCCTTTATATGCAACTATTCTGCGTTGGTCGTTATGTTTTAGGGGGAAATGTAACTTCAGCTGGGTTGCGTTCAGGGACATAGTCATGTAGCGTTTCATATAAGTACAGATGAATTTGGAGGGGTGGGAATTTGGGAATTTGCCTTTCCCACCAGTAGCCAGAGTTAACATCTTGTCTCATGCTAGTAGTTGGTAGTGATATTTCAACACTTATATAACACTTCACGGGACCAATGAACCATCTGCTCTTTACTCTAAAGGGATACTCGTCTTTTATTAGACCCTGCTCGATCAACAGCCTTTCAAACTCTCACTCCCCGAGTTCATAACAAAGGCTAGTAGACCGACTGAAGACATTATCATTGTTATTTTTTCAGACTTTATAAAGCTAAAATATATTATAGAAATAATTTATTTAAAAAAGGTTGTCACTTAATGTTTTGCAGTTTGTTGTTCAGACTATAGTTGTTGACCTAACTTAAAAAGCTTTTGTGTTAGTGGTTGTGTGTTGACTCAGTTCTGTGGTACATCTTTATATTGTGACGTTGTTGCATTGGAATGCATTATATTGGAAGGCATTTAAAATATTTTGTTCAAAGATATAGAATAAGAATAGAAAGAGAAGAAAAGTCCCTTTTTTGTCCTGTGCTCTAATAAGAGTTGAGCAAGCCTCGGTCAGAACATCGGCCTCCTTTCCTGTACTTAAATATGCTATGTGCTAGCCTTGTCTATGTTGCAAAGACAACCACATTTTGAAGATGGTTAAAAGATAAAAGCGACATATAGTCACATCTTAAGTTAGCTAATGTCATCAAAATGCTAGCTAACTAGCAAGAATCTCTACGTCAATTGTTAGTTAGTAGATAGTTAGCTAATTTACATCAATTGTTGGTTATTGTTCTAAAACTTTGCTAACATTAACTAACTTAAAATCTGTCTTCAAAATGTGGTTGTCTATTGAACATAGCCTAGCACATAGCATATCTAAGTACAGAAAAGGAGGAAGTTGATCAAGCCTCGCTCAACTGTTATTGGAGCACAGAGCAAAAAGGGGCGGGACTTAGGACAGGTCAGTTGGTAAACAGACCAATACAATAAGAACAATATAATGCTGTTCTGTGGAATATCACAGCAAATTACAATCTCAGTAGAGACTGTGGTTTGTGAATAGGATTCATTACAAGACTGTACTGTCGATCGTAACAAAATTAAATTTTGACTAGTCAAAAATTAAGGGAATTGCCCAAACGTTACCGGTTTCAACTTTTACATAAATTCTAAATTGAATCTCGTAGGTTTTGATTTGTTGGCTGAACAAAACAAATAATTTGAAGACGTCGCCTGATGAGCTCAGTCATGAACTCCTGACGGCCATTCGGAAGCATTTTTTCCCCTTAAACTAAAAGGGTAATCAGTTCATTGAAGCTCTGCTTCCAGAGTGCAGGGGCAAATAGTCGCATATGAACTTAATTTGCAGAAGACACGGTTGCATATCCTCACTAATACACCATGGTAAATAAACTGTACTCAAGGTGCACTGTAACACCAAACACTTTCCACACCGACTTCACACACACAGTAATGACACAGCACCGAGGTGGGTGAACCCGACAGGGGGCTGTTCTGCTACGACTCACCGGTCTCTTTTTTAAACATTGCACAAAATGTTTTACCTCAGGATGAGCTAACTGAAACTCACAAACTAGAATACAGTGCTATTCACTCCTCAGCAGGCAGGATAGTTTAATTTCTAACACAACCAGCAGGTTTGTCCTCTTTGCAACACGGCTTTCTAGAAGAGCTGATTTTTGATTTTTGTTTAAGCAGAGACCCCAAGAGAGGATGATAAAATAAGACTGTACTGTTGTTCTTTATTAAAGCTACTGTATTATATATGTAGACATATACTGTATAAAACATTTCAACTGTATACACACACAAGTACAGTATGATATTATATAAAAGCACCCAGGAGTTAGGAGACACAATGTAAATGTGTGTAGAGTGCAGCAGTGCTCACCTCTTAGTCGACATACAGTGGTTGCATTGGCTTCTATTACAACTTTGTGCTACGTGAGGTGAATTGAAAAGAAAATCTCTGTGTAGCTACCGCTAGCTGTCAAGATTTCAGTGCAGCTATGGAAATACAACTCAAAGCTATTGCCAATAGTATTTAATTTATATGTACTCACAAAAGTGTGTGGTCTCAAAAGAAAAAAAAATCTGTTTGTTGCACTTTATTTGTTTTTTTGGTTTTTCAATACTTTTCGAGATGTAACATATTTATAAAAGTATCATATACAGCTAGTTATGTTTAGTCAAGATGTTAAAATGATATAGAGTAATGTTGTATATCAAAAAAGAAAATGAACCCATTATCTCATGAGTCAAAGAAAATCTTTATGTGGGTAAACAAACGTTGTTCTTCCTTTTATATGCTAGTACGTATGCACCATTTGGGGTTTTTATATGAGTCGAAAAGAACTTTGAATATTATTTTTACCATTTTCAAACAGGAGAAGTGGTTTGTGCATTTGTAGGAGTTTCTCGTACAGACTCTGCAGCAGAGTACATGTGTGGGTGTTCAGTTAGTGACCACTATCAGCAAGCCAGACTGGAATGAAATAGATTTTTTTGTTCTCTGATCTGAATGTGTGTACCTATGTGCTATAGTATATGCATTAGAATGTGTGTGTGTGTGTGTGTTTGTGTGTGTGTGTGTGTGTGAGGAGACAGAAAGAGGAAGTGAATGCAGTTTGCTAACCTACTGTAGTTCGCAGTAAACGAACAGTTTAAGATGACTTCACTCTTACGTCCCTGTAATAACATCACAATAACTTAACTCTGACCTCAGATGTATCAGTGGCAAGAAACAATGGTTATAAAGTTAAGCAGTTCTTCCTCGTACCAAGTATTTGACGCATTAATAAGCAGAACAGGTGCACAAGCTACTCTAATTACTACAGAGCAGCAGGTTGCAAAAATAATTAAAAACGGTGTTCCTATTTTTTGGGCACCTTATGCATGTATATAAAGTATGTGGAGCAGAAATTATAAAACACAACATAATGGAGTCCCATACAATATCACCACTTAAATCCCAAACATTAAAGTAACATTTATCACAGAACTGATTTATAGAATGAATTACCTAATTCCAGTGTACAGTATAGATAATGAATAATTGACGTCGTCAAGGATTAATCATACTAATTTGTAGAGCTGCAACAATTAGTTGGTAAATGGAGTGGCTGTCAACTATTAAATGATTTCCATAGTTTGAGAATTTAACTGTTTTTAGAAAGAAGAAAAAATATCCAAAGTCTCAAGTTCAACTTCTCAAATGTGAATATTTACTAGTTTCTTTCGTCCTCTTTGACAGTACACTGAATATCTTTTGGGATTTTTCACAATATTCTGACATATTATGGACCAAATAACCAATCAAGTAATCGAGAAAAAGATTGATTAACTGACTACTGTCTGAATTACACATTTTAATATCTATCAGCAATCCAAATCTAAATCATTCATCTATTAATTCAAAACACCAAATACAAATGTGTGTTGTCTTTCAATATCAATCAATAAAGCCAGTAGCTTTTATTAATGATCATCAGTATTTGCCCGGTCCTTGTTAACCTCCTACTTATTATCCCTCCAAAAAACAAAGGTCTGCAGCTGTGCTTCCTGATGTTAAAGAACCTGTTCAAAGTAAACGGAGACATTAACAAAATAAAATCCCAACAAATATCTCACCACGAGGGTTCACCCAGAGTCCCACCTTTTGCTTTTACCGCCATCACTATGAGTATTATTTCTACTGTCATGTTATTAAAGAGACGGGTCTGAGTATTGTCATCAGTCTGCACGGGTTTGTCTACAGTTTACAGAAAAATTAAAAATTAGCATTGTTTAACTGTTTCAGTGTCAGCTTATCAAGGCTTAAATGTTAAAGACATAACATGTAAATAACTCCGGTAGTCGGTATTGTAGAGGTCTGAGCCATTTAATTATGCTTACAGCAAGTCAGACGTAATTTAAATGTGAATTTATAAAACAGACACTTTGATATTTTTTGGTCTACTTTGCGTTTGTTGTATTCCATAACCAGCTTAATATGCAACCAGACCTCTATTTGATCCAAACATGACTTAAATAGTAGTACTGAGATATGTTTACATAAAAACACTCTTTATCCATCATTTATATTTAATACAAGTATTCACTAAGCCCTGATAAGCTGGCAGGTGCATTTATTAATCCACCTAAAAGATTTGTACAAAAGAGAACCAAGCAAAAAACAGTACCTGTAAATACATTTAAATGTATATACACACACACTATATCGCAATTCTAACTGTTTTATATGTATTCCTATATGAAGTGGGGTTATCTGTGTATTTTCAATTCAGCTGAACTTGTTCTTGAATTGTATGTAATTTCTATAATGAGAATATATTGTCTGACAGGTGTAAAGTAATTTTCTTTTGGATTAATTTCATAGGTAAAAGTATACTATTATGACTTTTTTCTTTATTCATGAATTATTTTTGTTGTCAATATGTGACATATAAGTAATCTCTGATTGTTTTGAGTGTCAGAATAAAGCAGTTATAATAACATTATGTCTGCCTTCACACATGGATGTTGTTGCTGCTGTTGTCAAAAAAAAAGGGTTTTCCATCATAATTTACATAATTTCCATTTTTTGTGTGTGTGCCCCTTTTTAAAACAAAAACATTTACTCTCTTACTCCTAGTGGTGTCTGGCCATGCAGATAGTTAGAAACAGGGACTATTTCTATGGTGGCCAAAAGAGCTCAACACAATGCGACTTTGAAAAAACATGAACAAATTAACTTTACAAGTCGTACCTCAAATTTAGGAAAAAAATAAATATTCACCAATTTGACAACACAATGACTATACATTCAGTGATAAGCTTTTTTAACATACTAACAAATTAATCAGTTTTACTCTCACAGTCATGTAACTCATTTTTGCACTTTTGCCTCATCTGAGACGTCATATTGTTTCTTTATGTGCTTGTATTGTATTTATTTGCAGCGTTTAAAGGACAGGATTGGATACATCATTAAAAATCATTTTGTTAAACAGAAATTGGCTAACATGAACACATCAATAATTAAGTGAAAACAAAATGGCTTATTGTTAAGCTAAAAATGCAGTGTGATAAACTCACTCTTCCATCATATTCTGACATTTTGATCATTCAAAACGTGAATGCTCTGAGCGCTGCGGACTCGAGTCCATTCACCGCCATTGTTTTGGGGTGGCAACAGAAATCTTAGAAATACCTATCTCAGCAAAAGTAAACCTACAACTATCCGTATGGCTCGACGTTACCAGGTCTAAGTGGGAAAATGTTTTAGTAATCTGGGCAAAACAACACTTTAATGGGGCCGAGTTTAATTGCTGAAGATAGACTTTTAACAAACTATGACTGAAATAAGTACAGACTCTTAATAGCTGAACTAACGCTCCCCTGAATCCTTCACGTCCGTGGGTGATTAATATATTTGTCTCTGCAGCCCTTTCAGTTCTAGGCTGCCTGTCAGTGAGAACTATATGTAGCTGCAGCGCTATTGTGCTCCCTCCCTGCTGAGCTATAAGACTGCATGTGGATATTTTTGTATGGTGGGTCCCTAGTGAGCGCTCAGTAAATCTGAGGTATAGGATAGATAGGGGGAGGCGGTGAGGCTCAGGCCAGCTCCTCCATGTGAGGAGCTAGATACAAAGGGAGGCAGGGTGGATGCTGATTGAGCACGCCACTTGTTTGACTGTTTGTCTCTCCGGACTGAAAGTTGGGGCGGGGGTTGGGGGAGGGAGGGCAACGCACTACAAAGGCGTTTTCAAATTAAAGCCTCGTCTTCTTTCATTTCTTTATTTATTTTTTTTGTCAAAGGCTCCACGGAGCTGCTGAAGATCACTTCGAATTAGAGAGCATCTGTCATGACGAGGGTCCTGGGACACTCGCCTTGCCTTGCCTGCCCCCAACACCCACACACCACCACCCTCCCTTCCCTGCTTCCATCCGGCCCCATTACACTAAGACTGTTCACTTTGCACTGCCAAACTGCCGATCTCCACTTGTATGATTACAGCACACTCTGATCTTTATTCTGGGGAGAGCGGTAGCACAAGTTTTGGCAGGCGTAAGGCCTCTGCTCCCGCTTCTTTTATGCCACATTACAAGAACGGGATGAAAAGTGAATGAAGCTGTTGTCTCTCTGCTCTCAAACTTTTTGCAGTTTGACTCTGTCGCTGCGTTTTAACCTTACATTGTGAACTTTTCCTCCCTGTAACAGCGTACGTTACATAGAAGATATGTCGGGGTGGGAGGACTTAAAAGTGTGTGTTGTTTATTCCATACATTATCCCATATGTTCTTTTTAAGAATTATTTTCTAGCCTACACTTTCTGTGACAAGATCTTCCTAAAAACTTGTTCTGAAACTTGCACTGAGCTGCTCCACATTGACTTTTCATAGCACCCCTCATTATGTATGCCTGTCAGAAACATAACCTTCTGCATATTTACCAGTCTCCCCACTTTTCTCCCCTGTTTTCAGTAAATACAAAAGGAAGAGCTGTACTCAGTATTGATGGACATCACAGATGAAAACAACGAAGAGAGGAGAACTAGCTTTAAGAAAATAACACAAGAAGAAGAAGACGACGAGAAGGAGTCCCTCTACTGAGGCTGGCGAGGGAAGACGGGAGGCGTACAAAGTGGCGCCGCGGCAGCGGTGTCAAACCAGCCACAAACTAGACAGACGGAGTGAGCCAGTTTCCACCAGGGACCACCTTTTTGCCGGGTAGAAAAAGACAGAGAGAGAATGAAAAGCGTCCCGTTATTATAAAACATTTTATTTTTCTATACTTTTGTGATTTACAATGGTAAAAAGTGTGTATAAAGCAGTATATATGTACAAATCTGTTTTTATGTTTTTTGGTAAGGGAGATGAACAGTTGGCCCTTGATGCTGATTCTGTGGTATGCCGGAAGGAGGAGGGAGGAGCCCCCCCTCCTCTCTCTATGGCACACTGCTCTGTCGCCGAGGTCGTGTAAACAAAAACATAAACAGAAAGGTGGCAGGGAGCGCTCGGCATCCAGGCAGAAGCACTTTCTACACTGTACTTCCTGTGGGTGGAGTCAAAGGTCAGCCTCCTGGTCTCACTGCTCCGCCTTCTTCCTTCCAACCCCCCCAACCTCCTCCCTTACTTCCTTCCTTCCTTTTCGGGCCGGTGATGTCGCTCCTTCCTCCTTGTTGCGGTGTCACTGACCGGCAGCGCCTACTGTTAGCAGCGTCCCCCGTGGATACTGTCGTGATGTCACTTTCTCCTGGCAGCACCATTGGGCATCCCCGCCCTCCCCAATGGGAAGCGTCACTGGTTTACAGCGTTGGGGAGTGGGGGGGTGAGCCACGGCGGGACGGTGAGACGGTATAAAGCCGAGCCTCCCCGGTCTGCCCCTCTCCACGCCCCAGCAGAGGTCAATGACTGAGGACTAGTTAGAGAAAATGGCGCAGAAGTCGCCGACTTTACTCACCTGCCAGACTCCGAGCCCAAGCCTTTGTGTCACTCTGCACCGACGGACAAACTATCAGACCAACGCGGTAATAAAGGTGCGTACAACTACCAAGGATGCACGTTTCCACCTGACGAGAATAACTCATCAACGTCCATGTAACAAATTGAATTATAATCGAATAATCCCATTGTACTACATCAGCAGGTGCATAACCAAAACACAAGCCTGAGGCATATAGACTATGTCGCTAGATAAAACATTATAGAAATACAGTAGTGCCCATCCAACGGTAACAAGGAACGAGGGCTAAAATATGTCAATTTTTTTTGTCAATGTATTCTGAGAATATTTATTTGTGTGTTTTTTTTGTTTGTTTTTTGCAGCACTGAAAACTTTTAAAGAGGAAAAAAAAAGTTTTAATTTTGGTGGAAGCGAATTCTTTATATCAGGAGAGTCACTGTAAACGTGTTTAAACAAGAATGTTGATTCAGTTCTTTGAATGTACATTAATGTCTAGGGTGTCCAATAAGTATGTATTCTTTTTCTGTATATAAATATATATACATATCTATTATATGGGCTGTGGTGATGTCAGGGAGTAGAGGGGGTGGGCAGGAACGCCTCTGGCCCCCGAACATAGATATCAGACCCCCACCCCCTCCAACTAAATATGTCCCTGATATTTACTGTAACATGTGATCATGTGTTATATGATTGAAAGTGTGATGGTGATAGTGTGAACTGATCTCCCCTGAACCCCCCCCCCCCCC